GGCACCTAACAACAACAACAATATGCAGAGGCACTTGACTGTGTGGATCACAACAAACTGTAGCTAACCTTGAGAAGAATGGGAATTCCAAACACGTGATTATGTTCACATGAAACCTATACGTGGTCAGTCCTCCAAACAGAGCAAGTAAACACTGCATGGTTCACAGTCAGAAAAGGAGTGCATCAGGGATGTTCCCTGTGTCCATACCTTTTCAATCTATAAGCAGAACAGGTCATTTGGGAGGCTGGACTTTATGAGGAGGAATATGGCAACAGAAATGGAGGAAGACTAATCAACAACCAGTATTATGACAAAACTGAGGAGGACCTGAAGCGTTTGCTGCAGAAGGTCAAGGACTGTAGTCTTCAACATGGATTGAAGCTTAGCATCAAAAAGACAAAAGATTCTCACCATTGGGGCAGTTGGCTGCACAAAGATAGATGGAAAAGAGATTGAGGTCGTTAACAGGCACATAACAACATGTTGTGTTGTAATCCCTATTGAAGACTTTGAGTTATCTCAATAAATGCGTCAAGTTTTCATTTTCTGCAAGCAAGAGTGTCATCTGCAGATTGCAGGTTTTCTATAGGTCTTCCTCCAGATCCCATTTTCCCATGCCACATTCTAATTTATACATTATAATCCATTGTAATCACATTATAATCCAGCTTCTTGGAGTATTTGCTCAGCATACCGATTAAATGTTGTTAATATGTTTTCTAGTCGCCTGAAACTCCTAGAGAAACCTGTGTACAACAGCTCTGAACTCTGCTCTATCCTAAGCCAGTCTCTCTGTCTCCAGCACACCTACCACTATTACCCCAGATAATGAGTCAGTCCATCTCATCCAGAATCCTCCTCTCCTGCACCGTTTCTCCACCTTTACAAGCATGATGTCCTTCTCCAAGGACTGCTCCTCCTGGCAACAGGCCCAGAAGAGATGAGATGGAGCTTCACAATCTTTGCCTCGAAGGAACAGCTTCGTTTCGCCCTCCCCAAGACAGACCTGTTCTCTTCGCAGTCCATGGTACGTGTGTTCAGTACTCTTCTTCAGCACCACAACCAACCAACCCAAAGGCATCGATTGTTCTTCTGTCATCCTTAGTCATTATCCAGCTCTCTGATGCATAGCAAATAATTGCAAAGACCATGGCCTGAATCACATGCACCTTAGTCTCTAAACAGATACTGTTGCTCTTTAGCACTCTGGAGAGGTCTCTGATAGCAGATATTCCTAGCTCATTTTGTCTTTTGATTTCCTGACTTCTGGTGTCAAAGAGTGTTGATTCTGGAACCAAGCAAGCTGAAATTGTTAACAACCTCAGTCTCTTCTCCATCTTTTGTGGTGCTGCCAATTGGCCCAGTGGTGAGAATCTTTGTCTTCTTGATGTTGACCTTCAATCCATGTTGAAGATTACAATCCTTGACTTTCTGCAACAAGTGCTTCAGGTCCTCCTCAGTGCAGGAGAGGAGGACCCTGGATGAGATGGACTGACTCATTATCTGGGGTAATAGTGGTAGGTGTGTTGGAGACAGAGAGACTGGCTCAGGATAGAGCAGAGTTCAGAGCTGTTGTACACAGGTTTCTCTAGGAGTTTCAGGCGACTAGAAAACATATTAACAACATTTAATCGGTATGCTGAGCAAATACTCCAAGAAGCTGGATTATAATGTGATTACAATGGATTATAATGTATAAATTAGAATGTGGCATGGGAAAATGGGATCTGGAGGAAGACCTATAGAAAACCTGCAATCTGCAGATGACACTCTTGCTTGCAGAAAATGAAAACTTGACGCATTTATTGAGATAACTCAAAGTCTTCAATAGGGATTACAACACAACATGTTGTTATGTGCCTGTTAACGACCTCAATCTCTTTTCCATCTTTGTGCAGCCAACTGCCCCAGTGGTGAGAATCTTTTGTCTTCTTGATGTTAAGCTTCAATCCATGTTGAAGACTACAGTCCTTGACCTTCTGCAGCAAACGCTTCAGGTCCTCCTCAGTTTTAGCAAGCAAGGTGGTGTCATCTAAATAAGGCAGGTTGTTGATAAGTCTTCCTCCAATCCTGATGCTACATTCTTCTTCATAAAGAAAATCCAGCCTCCCGAATGATCTGTTCCTCATACATATTAAAAAATCTGTATACATAAAACAAAAATTCTCACTACTGGACCAACAGGCAGCACTGTGATAAATAGGGGTATAGGTGCAAATTGTCAAAGACTTCATTTTACCAAGATCCATAATCACCACCCACGAAAGCAACAGTCAAAAAATAAAACAATACATTGCATTGGGCAAATTTACAGCAAAGGACCTCTTTAAACCGGTAAGAGCAAGTATGTTTCAAGACTAATGCATGGCCCAAGTTATGGCATTTTCAATTGTTTTATATGCATTTGAAAGTTGGACAATGAATAAGGAAGACTGAAGAGGAATTGATGCCTTTGGATCGTGGTGTAGGTGAAGAATACCGAATATACCATGAACTTCAAAGAAATGCAGCCAGAATGTTCCCTGGAAATGAGGGTGGTGAACTGTGTCACACATGCTTTGGACATAGTATCAGAAGGACATTATGCTTTGGACACTTGCATGCTTTGAACATCTGAGGGACCAGGAAAGAAAGGACAACTGAAAATGAGATGGACTGACGCGGTGACAGCAGCACTGTGTATGAGAACAGCAGAGACGTGAGGACAGTGAAGGATCGCGTTGTCAGGAGCTGACTTGATGGCACCTAACAATGCATCTGCACCCAAAGTTGGAAAATGAAAGACTGCATGGCTTACATGAGCCAAGGAAAAGGGAAGATGCATTCTTTCAACCCATATTAACTGATAATATTGGCATAACTGCAGATGCTATAGATATAGCAGAGAATAGTGTCTGTTCTCCCCAAGAGTCCTCAGTCCACTAACTGTCTAACTTCCTTTGGGGACTGACTACTGGCTTGGATTCATCTGTTTTACTTACCTACCTGGTCCCTTAATTTTATTTCCCCACCCCCACCCTCACTTGCCCCTTTAAACAAAACAGACTGTACTTCTGTATCCAGGGAGCATCTACTGAGTGCTGGCCTGAGGCAGGATCCGGCACAAAGAAAGTGTTCTCTAAGTATTTGCTGAATGACTGAATCTTTTGCCTAAACAGCCCATCAATTTTGTTTTTCCGAGATTTAACGCAAAGGATGAGCACATAGTAGTTGTTCATTTAATGTCAGTTGAATGAAAGGTCCAGGGTTAAGGGAGGGTTGACAGGGTATGTGGGCTTCCTGAAGCAGAGCCCTGGGCGAGGAAGAAGGAAGAGAAAGCTATAATAGTCCATGTTAGATCAAAAGTCAGTCTACTCATGTACACAGTTGTATTCAGCAACTACTAAAGGTCAGCAATTCGAACCACAGCAAAAATGCTTGGCAAACTGACTCCAATCAGGAATACCTCCTCGAGTACTTTGTACCAGAATCAGAATCAGCTGTGTGGTTTTTTGGGGGAAGGGGGTTAAAGATGGTTGCAAGGCAATCAGCTCCTCACAGTAGTCCCTGGAGGTATGTGACAAGATTTGTGAGAAACAAAGAAACAGGCTGGAAAGATCTGTGGTCAAATTCACCACCGGAGGGAGAGAGTGGAGGAGGGGCGTTCAGAAGCCTGGCCCCTGGAAGCTAGTGTTCTGGGGGGGGGGGGGCAGGAAGGCGCTCCACAAAGTCCTGAAGGGGCTTGTGAAGGAATTTTTGGAAGCTTCCTCCCTCTTGGATGCCTGGAAGTCCACCACTGGAAGTTAGCTTTCTAACTTGCAAAAGCTCTTGACTTGGAAGGAGTGAGAATTCATTTTTCAGACCTGGTTCCCAATCCGTTCCTGCAAACACTTCATCCACGAGAAGGCAGTAGGGGCTCTGTGAGAATTTCTTTTGGGGAGGGGGAACCGGACAGAAAAATCTGCCTTAGCAGAACTACTGTCAGACAAGTTTGGCAATGGCCAATATCCCAGTAAAGGGCCTCCTGAGGGCCACCAAGTGCTCCTGGGCATCTGAGAAGGGGGGTGGGAAGGGTGGAGTGAGGAAGAAGCTGCAACGGGCAAGGGAGGCTGGACGTGACCCAGCCTGGAATCCCTGGCTTCGTTGCACCAGATTCCCCTTGGGGCTTGCTCAACCTGATATCAGCCATTTACAAAGGATGAGATTTTGTGTAGAGGTGTGGGCACCCCTGGCAAAGGGCGCTGCAGCCTTTCCTCCACGAAGCTCCTCACTCTCCCCGGTCAGAGCTGATGTGCGCTTGCCGCTCAGCCCAACGCGCCGTCAACAATCGCAGCTGGAGCTCCCCGCAGTGCGTCCGCGCGCGTGCGCTCCCTCCTGCCGGCCTCGCGCGCCTTCCGCGCGGATCCTGCGCCCAGCGGATCCCTCGGCGGAACGACGAATGGCTCAGCCCGGCCTCCGGGCTCCAAGGACGCCAGGGCCCAGCCCGGTTCAACAAGTGTGGGCCGGTCACTCGTCCCGCCTGGCGGCTTCGCGCCTCCCCTGGCGCCCGGGGCGCGCCAGGCCGGTCGGGCCCGGTCGGGCAGGTTCCATTTCATCAGCCCTGCAAGCGCCGGTGCAAATAACGTTGCCCCCTCCCTCCCGACCCGCCCTCCCCGCTCCTCCCGAAACTCCGTTTGCCAACGCCCGCACGCAGGCTGGGAGGGCCGCCGCGGCCGGGTGCCGGGTGCCCAGCGCCCGCCCCCGCCCTGCGCCCCGCCCGCGCCGCGAGGCCTCCTCACCGGCAGCGGAATGGAAACCGGTCCGACAGGTAACAAATAGGTGGGTTGTCGCCGTTATTTCCCAACGCATGCGCCGTTGCTCCTCGGGCCACTCCAAGCTAATTAGTTCAGCTCACCCCCCGCCCGCCCCAGCCACCAACACACACCGCCGCGAGCCAATAAAGCGTGAACTCGTCCGTCCGGATCGCACTTGAAGACTTCGCGAGCGGCCGCGGGGGACGCCAGTCCAGGCCAAGACGCTTACCTGCCGCTTCCCCGCCGCCTGTGCACCTGGCCGCCCGGGACCTCGCCGGCGAGGAGGACGCCGCAGAGTTGGGAGCCGGCGCGCAACCTCCCGGTTCCCGTCTCCCCGCAGAACGCGGGGACGCCTTGGCCACTGCGCTCCGATCGTTCCCGGCGGGCAGCCAGCCGGGGAGAGGCGAGGAGACCCCGGTTCTCGTTACGGAAGCGGACAGCGCGCCGAGCAGAGTTCGAAGATGCCCCGCGCGTTCTTGGTGAAGAAGACGTGCGTCTCCACGTGCAAGAGGAACTGGAGCGAGCTCCCGGACGAGGAGCGCGGCGAGATCTACGTGCCAGGTGAGTGCCCGGCCGGCGGAGCCCCTGCGCACAGCCCCGGGGTCCCAGGGGGTCCCGCGGGGTCCTGGGGGCAGCGGGCGCCGAGGTGAATGGCTGAGCGCCGGGCCCCGTTAGCTGGCGGTGCCTGCGACCCCGGGCGTCGGGGGAGGGGAGAGCGGAAGGCGGCACCGTGGGGGCGGGGCAGGGGGCCTGGTGGGGACGCGCGCGGTTCCCAGGCCGAGTGTCGGCGCAGGGCCCCCTCCCTCCGCCGGCCCGAGGCGCGGTGCAGGGGAGGCAGCGGGGTGTGTCACCGCTCGGGTGACCCTCCACTCAGGCCTCGTAAATCCAGAGACCCGGGACTTTGATGAGGGGGCGGAGGGCACTGGAGCGACGCCGGGTGGGCGGGGGGAACGGGAGCGAGCTAGAGTTTCGGCCGAGGGAGGTCTGTGCGACTTGGGGAGCAGAGGCGGACTCGCAGCTCTAGGGGCCCCGCTCCCCTTCCCCGGCGGCACGGGGCCCCGGGAGTCCGCGGGGGGGTCGCGCGCCAGCCGGGGGTCTGCGAGGAAGCCGCCGCCGGCTGCGCCCCGCCCGCCCTGGAGACAAAGTTGGGCCCCGTCCCACGCCGGCTGGAATGGCCGGCTCTCCCTGCAGCCCCGCACAGCCGAGCGGAAAGCGGTTCTCGGGAGCCCCCGCCACCCTCGCCGGCCCCGCCTGCGGGCAGCCCTGCGCGCGCGCCTTGTTTATGGGACGCGCGGAAGGCGTCCGCTTGAATGAGTAACTCGAGTTGTTTTCCTCCTCTGGGGGCATCATCGCAAGTCCTGCGAATTCTCCGGCGGCCCCCTCTTCCACCCCTACGAACCCTGGGGTCGGGAGGAAGACCCGTTTTCTTCCCGACTTCCCCTCCCGGTGGGCGGGGGCTGCGCTGAACCTCGGCCAGCGCCTTCCAGGGGGGAGAGGTGGTAATTAACCAAGTGACTTTGACCCTTGATCCGCCAGAATCCCTGGCACCGCCCCAGGCCTTGCAGGAAAAACGGCGAATTAAGGTTGATGCAGGGTGGGGGTGGGGGAAGCGCAAAGAGCTCTTGCCTCAGTTTCCCCTTTAGTAGGCGGTTGGAGATCCCGGAGCCATGGTGAGGTCTTTGTGGGCTGACCCGAGGGACCCAGTCATTAGCGTGGTGATGGCTAGGCTGGCTCATTATTTAATCATCTCTCAGGTCCCTGGACCCCTCTTTAAAATTCTACTTAAAACAAGAGAATGGGTTCAGAAGCCCCCCAATGGCCCCAGTGGGGAAATGGAGGCAGAATGGGGAGTCAGATGAAGTGGGCTAGGGTCAGGGTCCTGCTTGGTGACCCCAGCCCGTTCCCTGGCCGCCGCCTCCCTCACCTGTGCTCCACTCCCTGACTAGCTGCTCCCTGGGATCTGATAACCCGAGTTTGGACTGTGCCAGAGGTGAGCTGCCTTGAGCGAGGTTAGCGTTCAGCCTGCTGTTATTTTTAGTTTTATTTCACATCCCAATCAGTAACCAATCATGTGTTCACTTCTACAGAGGTCAAAGAGATTCCGCTTGTTCAAATCAGTGACTTTCTCAAGTTCTATCGATTTCTTTCTCAAGAATCTAGTGGCTGGTGGTGGGAGTGGCTAGGAACTCAGTGCCCAGGGTTTGTGGGGAGGTTTTGGGGTCCCTTGCCACTGTAGGATTGTCAGGTTGGGGGCCAAGGCCAAGAGCAGGAGTGAGACTACTCAGTGCCCTCTTCTTTCGCACTCTAGCGGGCCTCTGGAGTCAAGTAGAGAGTAGAGGCTAATGTGTGTCCCCCAGCCCTGGGAGAATTTTCCCACCGTTTTTAGAAATGAGGAAGGGAACAATCTCCATGTACGCTCGGGTGCCTCTGAAGGCTGGAGAGTGGTGTGTGTGTGTGTGCCTGTCCCTTGCCTGCGCCATTCCATCACCAGCCAACCATGGCCCCAGGAGCCGCCCAGCACGTTTCCTTTGCCCGCTTCACAGACCTGCAGCAGTGTGACCAGTCAGCACTGACCTAGGCCCAGTGTGGGGCTCTGGGAACATGGATGCAGTCATTCTAACCTCCTTCCAGGCTTCTAGGCCTTCAGCACATCTGACCAGAAGGGAAGGTGGGCCCCTGCTTGACAAGCCTTTTCTAGGGTGGGAGCTGAGCCCCCCATTCCTGGGTTCTCTCTCCTGGTGCAGTCTTCATCTCAGCCTCACTGTCATGACCATTGGACAAAGGACTTGAGAGTCAGCGCCTGTGGCCCTGGGGGGAGCATGGGCCCTGAGAGTCCTGTGCCCGGCCTCCTCCGCTGTGTGTGTTCCGCTTTGCTGTGTCAATATTGACTATGGAGTGACAAGGAGCAATGCTGGCTGCTTAAGTTCGCGGGATGGAGCCTGGAAGCGGGAATGAAGGGTACTCAAGAGATGAACCCCAGCACCCAGCACCCCATTCCCCAATCCCTGAGTCAGCTGTAAAGTAAAAGGCCCAGGGCGGTGGGGGGCACTGCAGATCCTTCCCCAGGCCCAGAGTCGCATGCACCCCTGCTGGGGAGCTGGCAGCATGCAGCCTCCTGCGAGAATTTCTGTCTCTCCTGGGCGAGCAGAGACCCAGGCACCGGCTCAGAGCAGATGAGCACATCCAGCTAGATGGATGCGGCCTCTGACTGTACCAGGCAGGGGCTGTCCCCGAGCAGGTGGCTTCTTGATGTCCTAGAGCAGAAGGCTACAGGTCTTTTGTCCCAGACAGAGAGCGAGAATGAGCACAAAGCCAGGCTGTGCTAATCAGGGTCCCCCACGAATGTTGGCCTATTTGCATGGCAGGTGCATGGTGTCCACCAAGTGTGCTTAGTCCTGCTGGGCAGGGAGGAGCTGGAGGACACTGGTTCTTGCTATTCAGGCCGTTTGTGCTGGACCAGCACTGAGACACCTGCTTCATAGAGATGGAATGGAAGGCTACCGGGAGAGGGCTTAGAGATACTGTCTCAGAGGAAAACTGTTAGCAGTGGGCAGGATAAAAACAAAAGACCAGAGACAGGCCCTGTGTGTCTCCCCTGTGTGTCTCCGGCTGCCCTTCTTGGTCAGAGCTGGCCTCTGCGGACAACTGCTAGCTGACCAGTGAGACTGAAGGAGGGGGCCCTGGGGACCCTGTCGATCTAACACACAGCACTGAGCTAGCCACCCTTTTCCACCGCCGGGGTGGGGTCATCAGTGCTTACTAGGAGACCTAGGCCAGGGCCCCCAGCCCAGCTTGTCCTGAGGCCTTGGATGGGGAGGACCTGGCACTCTCTCCAAAACCAGAGCAAAGAGCTGTCACTCCAAGAAAAGGGAACTTGATGCAGGAATGGCAGGGAGAGCCAGTGCCAGACGTGCCCTGGACACAGCCCCTGGGGTCTGCTTTCTGCTCTGTCCGTTTTCCCCACATTGTCTAGGTGGAGATAGGCCAGAGGAAAGCCTGGGAGCTCCCTGAGGGGGGCAGGGAGGTGGCCCGCTGGATTGGCCATGCCACGGTCCACGGCTGTGGGCGGGCGATGAGTAGCCCAGCGGCCACCGCCTTGCCGGAAACATCTAATTAGGAGACAGAGTAATACAAGCGGGAGCCCAACCAGTTCTGCTTCCTGCCACCGGCCACTTGGTGCCTCTCAGGTGACAGTAGCGGCACGCTGTGAGCATTCCTTGTGCGTGCGATGGCAGCCGGGCACGCTCACGGGGGCGGCTGGAAGACAGGTTTGGCAGGAGTGGCAGGAGGCAAACATCCCCACATTAGCCACCAGGTAGCTGGCGTCCAGCCTCACCTGCCCCTCGGCGGGGCGGAGGCAGCTCCGGGAGCAGGCTGGGCCACCTCGCTCACAGCTCTGGTTCCAGTGACCGCCAGCAGGAATGTGCAGACAGGACAGACAGCGTGGAGCCCAAACACGCCAGTGTAAGCCACCCTTCTGGCGAGCAAGGGAGCTGAGAGGTAACTTTTACCTCCAGAACTCTGGTGGTACAGTGGTTAAGTACTTGACTGTCAGCACTCGAGACCAAACAGTTTGGTCATTTGAACCCTCCAGTCACTCCCTGGGGGAAAGATGTGTTCGTCTCCGCTTAGTAAACATTACGGCCTTGGAAACTCTGGGGCATTTCAACTCTGTCCCCTGTGGTCAAGATCGACCAGATGACACATACCAACCCTCACCTGCTGTCACCTGTCACTTCTGCAGTAACATGGGCACGGAGGAGCCTGGCGCTGAGAGACAGGATGAAGATCTGTATGTCTCTCTCTAGACAGAGAAATAAACACTGGCCTTCAGCTTTGAGTTCTCAGCCAGCAGCCCCAGTAAGCCGGTCTGGTGACCCCGGATTAGCACCAGGCCCCCTCATGGTTCACAGTGTGTGTTCAGGGGCCTGGCCCCTGTGAGCCCAGGCTGGGGCCAGGCGTCCGAGGCCTGGCTGGGACCTGTGAATCAGCACCCGTGATGAGTGGCTCATTAAAGTCCCCCAGACTGTGGACGCCCAGGCCAGCAGAACGGGTTCTGGGTGGTGGGCAGGCGCCTCCCGGCAGGCAGCCCTTTGTTGTGTTTTGAGGGGGCGAGTGCTGGAGCCTCTCTCGAAACTTGGGTGCTCTCACGCTCACCCTGCCTCTCGCCTGCCCGTTGTTGGCACACCTCAGCCTAGCCTGGTCCTGGGTCTTTGCCCCTTCGTCTCAGCAGCTGGGGAGAGTAGAGCAGAGGAGGCCTGTTCTGTACTCCCACACCCCCTTCCCTGAAGCCCCCAGCCTCTCTGAAGGTCATGTTGGGAGTAGGGAATACTGTCCTAAAAGGCCCGCTCAATCATCAGTCCTGGCCCGATGGGCTTTGGGACCTGTCTCCTGCGTCATGCGGAGAACAGCCTTCCCGTTTCAGCCTGGGCCCCGTTTGGTGTGAGTTGTCTTCATGGGAGCGGCCTTCACTCAGGGCTGCCAGGTATCGGTGCCGCCGCAGGGCGCCCAGCCTCCCTCCCCAGAGAGCGGTCCCCGTCGTTGGGGCGGGTTGTGCAACTGCCGGGCAGGCCGCCCAGGACACTGTTACATCGCATCCACCTGCTGCTCCCTGACCTCCTCCCTGTCCCACCCACCCACCGGCCTGCCCACCTGCAGAAGTGTGTGAGGAGGAGCCAGCAGGCCTGGTGGGGCCACAGGGCAGGTGTGTCTGCCCAGTACAGGAAGGGGGGCAAGGACCTCTGGGTCCCCACCCCAGATGAACAGCTGTGCCTGGACCACTGAGGGCCCTCTCGGGCCAGGCCGAGGTCTAGAGCTGTCCTAGGGCTCAGCAGCTCCTGAGCTGCCCTCTGCCCCCGTAGAGCATGAACTTGGAATCCAGAGGGACTGGCCCAGGTGGGGCCGCAGACAGCTCAGAAGGATAATTGGCAGGGCAGGTTCGGTCCTCCCAGTTCCGCTAAGACACAAATTACTCAGCGGCCAGGCCTGTGGGCTGTGGCGCTTGGCTGGCGTCACCTGTAATTATCTTAGTGGGGTGGAGGGCGGTGTGTGTGTGTGGGGGGGGGCAGCCCTGCCCAGCCACAGGCCTTGTAGAGGAGGACTGGACACTGCTGGGGGCCTGCCCGAGCCCCCCAGACCCTCTTTTCTGCACCAAGCCTTCACCTGGCTCTTCTCTCTACAGTCAGCCTGGGCTTCTGCCCACCGCAGCCCTACCGGGAGCCAGAGCCATCGGTGGCTGAACCCCCTGCCTGCTCCCTGGCTTTGGACATGAGCCTTCGGGACCCTAGCTACAGTGTGGCTCCTGCACCCTGCGTGGTGGCCCAGCTGCCCTCTGAGGATGTGAGCCACCTACCAGATGCCCAGAGCAGAGACCACGGCTTCCTGCGCACCAAGATGAAGGTAGTGGTCCCTACCAAGGGCTGGCCATCTGTTAGACCTGGGGCCGTGGCACCAGCAGCACCCAACCCCTTGGGCAGCCTTTGCTGCACCTGGGCTGGGCTTCATTGAGGCGCACACAGTTGATGGGCCCACCTTCCTGGAAGCTCCCTTCTGGAAGCACCTGCCTGTAGCCGTGACTGAAGGGTGCTGTGGGCATTGTCTGCACATCAACAGAGGGGGAAGCTGGTGGGAGAAGGGCTCCTCCTTGTCCCCCATGAAGGCCAGGAGTGTGTGGTGATGGGCTAGGAAGCCAGCCTTGAGCTCTCCTGACATCACAGAGCCCAGGTCTCCCCACAGAACCTTCCTCCCACTCCTTGAGATCCTCATGGGTGGGGAGGGCAGGTGGCTCCAACCTGAGAGCACAGAGGAAACAGACAGGACATAGTTGTGCTGAGGACTATGTTCTGCCCCAAGAGCTCAGAGCTGCCCCAGAGCAGGGGAAGCTTCCCCAGGGCCAGAAGCTCCAGAGTCCAGTGAGAGGGAGGATGACAATGAGACAGTCACTGAGCACTGGGGACCTGCCAGCCACAGGTCCACCCACAAGCACAGCCACCTCGAGAATCTAGCAGGTAGAGGTGGACATCTCACCTGTCCTGGCTGGCACACCTGGGGAGGCACCTTAGTGTCCTTAGCGAGGCGTTGAGAAGTGCACAGGCGCCCGGATGGACTTCACAGCAAATCTAGGCCATCACAGGGTGGGGGAGGGCAAATGGGCCAGGCTGGAGGACAGAGTGAGGGGATTTGAGCATTTCTCGACTTTTGCACGTACTTGAACATTCCATAGTTAGAAAAACGAAGAAGGCTTGTGGGTAAGGGAGTTAGCTGAGTAGCCAAGCCTGTGGTGCCCCGGGCCACAGATTGGGATGGCATCTTTGAGGTGTGCCGGGACATTTCTCACCAGCCACACGGTGGAAGGAGGACTGATAAGGACCCTGAGTGACAGAGACGGGCTCGATTGAACTCAGTGTGGGTGCGACACCTTTGGGGCAGGACGTGCCAGGGGCTAGACCTGGTGACGGCAAGGGGGTGGCGATGGCCTGTGAAGGGGCTGTGGATCCTGATGGGGGGCTGGACAAAGTGCCCAAAGATGATTTCCACGTGGGTGAATGAAGACTCTAGAGCTGTGGCCTCTGGAGGGGGAGCCCCAGTTTCCTCATGGGTTGGAGGTCCTTTCCCCAAAATCTGCCTGCAGCCCACACCTCAGGTTGTCTGTCACAAGCACGTTCCTCGCCCTCAGGTGACACTGGGGGACGGTCCCGGTGGAGACCTCTTCACCTGCCACATCTGCCGGAAGGCCTTCACCTACCAGCGCATGCTCAATCGCCACATGAAGTGTCACAATGACGTCAAGAGGCACCTGTGCACGTACTGCGGGAAGGGCTTCAATGACACCTTCGACCTCAAGAGACATGTTCGCACTCACACTGGTGAGGGGGCGTGTTCCAGGCTCCACAATCCTCCGGGGCTGCGGGGGGCCTGGGAGGACCTCTTGGAGTTCATTGCTTTGGGGGGTCACCGGATGGCAGAATCAGGGTCAGGTCCTCTGGGACCTGAGGAGGCTCTGAGGTTGGTGGGCTGGTGCCGGGAGCCCCCCACCGACATCCCGCCCCTGGTCTCCCCGCAGGCGTGCGCCCCTACAAGTGCAGCCTGTGCGACAAGGCCTTCACGCAGCGCTGCTCCCTGGAGTCCCACCTCAAGAAGATCCACGGGGTGCAGCAGAAGTACGCCTACAAGGAGCGCCGGGCCAAGCTGTACGTGTGCGAGGAGTGCGGCTGCACGTCCGAGAGCCAGGAGGGCCACGTCCTGCACCTGAAGGAGCACCACCCCGACAGCCCGCTGCTGCGTAAGACCTCCAAGAAGGTGGCCGTGGCCCTGCAGAACACTGTCACCTCCCTGCTGCAGAACGACCCCCGCTTGTGAGCGGCCAGGGGGCTGGCCCCTGCCCTCCACGGGGCCGTCCACAGACAGCCGCAGCAGCCGCCATCAGCCTGTCCCCGGGCTGGTGCACATCATACGGCCCTCCGAGCGGCCCTCAGACGGTTCTAGTTTTCTCAGGGGACACGCTGCCTGGAGAGCTGTGTGCATGGAGGGGCCGAGTGGGGGCCAGGCTGCCTCCGACCAGAAGCGGCGCCCCGGCCTGGGTGACTGACTTCCTCCCGGGGGTCCGGCTGCCTGCACCTCGAGGCCTGTGGAGCCTGGAGCCGGCAGCTGGGCCCACCGAGGCCCCGGGGCCAAGAGTACTCGCCAGAGGACCCCATAAAAGGCCGAGTGCGGGGCCTCTGCTCTCCTGATGTGACACAGAGACACCCGGGCGTCGAAGGCTGCGTGCGTGCACAGCAGGCCTTGCCCCACATCACTTCACTTTGAAGCAATTATCCACAAGGTGCCAAGGAGGTTTCCTCTCCTTTTTTATGACATGTACAGATAGTAATATATTTTTAGTGCCAACGGCAACTGTTTTTAAGAGCGGGATGGAGCTGGCTCTTCTCTGTCCCCACACACTTCTATTTATCCTGGACATTTCAGACCTCTGTGCCTTGTACCTCCTGAGGGAGCTCCCTCTCAGGGCTGCACAGCCCCCTCTACTCTTCCCTCCTGTGTGTGTCCTTTGGAAGCAGCCCCCCTGGGCCTCAGTCTCCTGAGGACAGACTCCCTGGGAAGTAAATCACCGTTCCCATGGGTCCGGAGCCTGTCCAGCTGTGGCCTTCAGGGTGACTGGGTGGGACGATGAGTCTGAGATCCGAAGTCATTAACTGAGACCTGAGAAGAAGCCAGAGGGCCTGCTCGCTTCGTGGTGGAGTTGGAAACCTGGGGGCTCAGCACGGTCAGGACGCAGGATGTCCGCCCTGTGTGGCTGGAGAGGGAGCCTCCTCTCACTTCCACGGGTCTGTCTCCTGAAATGTGTGTGGACGGTTCCTGAACTCCTGTTGCCTTTTACTCGAGTGTATTTTTGTGTCTGGACCACAGCTCAATCTGGAAAGCGATAGTTTAAAATCGGATTTTGTTTACGTATCTGTGACACTGGGCTCATTACTATAGGTTGTGTTGTCTGTTTTCTAATTTCCCCTTCCACTATTAAACTATTTCTGTTTATCATACAGGCCTCTTTACTTCCCCCCTGCAGGGAGAATTGGAACAAGTGAGTAATTCTAGTCAAAGCTCTACTGTGAGCAGGGGGGCCTTAAGTTGAGGCCCAGAGGTCCGTGTGATGGCCTAAAGCTGTCCCAGAGCTCAGGTATCTGTCCAGGTCCCATCTCAGGTGCCCTCCCGGTGCTCACTGGAGCTGGATCACAGGTTGGGGTGGGGACGGCACTGTTTTAGATAACGGTCACAAAGTTCACATCCTGGTGATTTCCGGTTCAGGCCTGCTCACTGCCTCTTGGCCTTCTCTGAGGTAGGGGCTGGGACCATCCTTCAGAGATGCTGGGAGACATCTTGTGCTCCACAGCAAACGGGCAGGGGTGTGGAGACACCCACCCAGCACCCTGCCCAGCAGGAACTTGAGACTGTGAGGTCCTCCGAGTCCCTCATCCAGGACCTCAGCCCCAAGCCCCAGCTCATGGTGTTCTTCCATCAGTCCCCTTGACCAGATGGACAAGAGGGAGGGCTGAAAAAACAAACAAAAAGAAATTAAAAAAAAAAAGAGGGAGGGCCGGGAGGTGGGCATCACCCTGTCTGTGCTGGAAGCTTGAGAAGGGTTGGCCTCAGGGTGCTGGACCTTGTCCAAGGCGCTCTGGGAGTTCAGTGAGTGAAGAGGCCCAAGGCCTGCCTTGCTCACTGCTATCAAGTTGCCCCCAGTTCATGGGCACCCAAAGGGCAGACTGTTTAACAGGGCACAACTGGGGGGTTCTTGGGTTAGCAGGCCCTCCACCTACCCCACCCAGGCTCCTTTAACTCTACTTACATCTCTTTAGATACCCTGGCCTAGAGGCTTTTTCTTATCTCTCAATTTGAAAGGCTAACCAAATCCCATTTTCCATGTCCCAAGATTAGCAGAGTCCATTGTTGGGGTCTCAGATGATTAACTGCCCTGTAAACTTTAAGGGGAGACAGGACAGCTCCCAGGAAACCTGAGGTGGGAGAAGACAGTGGTCTTGGACGACACCTGTCTCTGCATGTCACACCCCCCTCCTCTGAAAAGCTGGGATGCTTTGCACTCCATGTACCCTCAGAAGTCACATTTTGAGGGCCACGCTGCGTGGATAGGAGCTATTAAAATACTGGCAGGCTGGGAGAGGGGCGATAAACCAGTCAGCTCTCAACCCAAGGGCAAAGGGCATGATCTGGCTACACCTGCTGAAGGATCTTTTCGTATCTGAAAGCTGGGGACTCAAAAGGCAAGCAAACCGGGACCACATCTTGACTTAAAGAAAACTAACAACATCAACTGCTAACAAACAATTTTGACGTTCCAAGGGATTGTTTCAACACAGTTTTCAGGAGCTCAGGACTGCAGCTTTGGAAACCCCCAGCCTCTCAGGTTAGGGAAACTGAGAGGTTCACATGGAAATGCAAAGGAGTTCTGGTCCCAAAGACAGGAGGTTCAGATCCACAGGAGAAAAATGCGCCCTCTTCTCCCTGCCCCTAAAATCCCCCTGGAGGGTTTCTCCAACTCTGATGGTATAACCATATCACCAACCACAAAAAACAAGCCAAAATCCACTAATAAATTATTGCGATGCACCGGGCTTCCTGCACCTCTAAGAGCAGTATGGAAAAAGAAGTGTGACTGGAACGTGTATGGAGTTGGTACTGTGATAATATGCGTGTTGCATTTTTGTCTAAAGTTATGAAGAGTAAAATTTTACTTGTTCAACGTTGCTGCTGTTGTTATTATGTGCCTTCGAGTCGTTTGCAACTCATAGCGAACCTATGTACAAGAGCTCTAAACGCTGTTCTATCCTGTGCCAACCTAGTCCATGTATTGTATTAGTATTATTTTAATAAAAGGCAGTTTTCTGGAAGAAGTGGACTGGCAGATCATTGGATTGGAATGGAGCCGACTAATGCTAATAGACTGAGCCTTGCTGTTCAGTGGAGAGTAGGATCAAAGACCTGGAGACAATGAGATCAGCTCTGCTTCCTTCCTTCATGCCTCAGGCCAGAGGCATTTGTTTGAACTCTGTGAGCTCTAATAAAGAGAACTGATAACAAAACAAAATTCTGTGACAGGGAAGCTGGGTGGGGCTTAGCAAAATGACTTTATCAAGGACTTAGGTGACCTCAGGTGCTCTAAAAGATTTTCAGTGACAGCTTGCCTTTTCGGAAGTAGCATACCAGGCCTTTCTTCCAAGTGCCAGCAGCTGCGGATTTAACCCTTGCACTGCCTAAGAAATTCGAGGATAAAAATAGGGTTCTGTTTTTATATATTTTTAAAAAATTTTATTAATTTTAATCAACATTTACAGAGATTTTGGATTTCCATTCATTCATTCATTGTTGCACTTTTCTCCCTGCTCACCCTTCCCCCATGTTTTTATGTCTTTTTGTTGTTGTTTATAATTTTTTTAATTGCGATTTTATTGATAAAGTTTATAAAGAACTTGGATTTCCATTCATTCATTGTTGCACATTTTCCTTCCTGCCCCTCTAACCCACCCCCAGTTTACTTTTTTCTTTGGAAAAAGAGGTCTTTCATTGTTATACAGTCCCCTCCCCAGACGACTTTATTATGCGGCTCTTATTCTGGACTCTTGTATCAATAATACCTAATCATATATTCCTTTTATACAGTTCTCTCCCTTGTCTGTTTCAATGCCATGTACATTATTAATCCCCTCATTTGTTATGCATCAGAGAGTTGGACAATGACTAGGGAGGATAGAAGGAGAATTGACGCCTTTGAGCTGTGGTGCTGGAGAAGAGTATTGAATGTACCATGGGCTGCCAAGAAAACAAACAGATTTATCGTAGACAGGATTAAACCAGGCTACTCCTTGGAGGCAAGGATTCTGGGGCTTCGTCTGACATAATTTGGACATGTTGTAAGGAGAGACAGGTCTTTAGAGAGGGACATCATGCTGGGTAGAGTGGAGGGACAGCGCAGGAGGGGAAGACCCTCTATGAAGTGGATTGATTCAGTGACTGGGGTAATCGGGATGGGTGTGTCAGAGGCAATGAGATTAGCACAGGATAGAGCACGGTTTAGGGCTGTTGTACATTGGGTCTCTATGAGTCGCAAATGACTCGACAGCACATAACAACATTCTTAGTTTACCCCCAACTCCCATGTCAGTCTTGTTTTATTACAGTGGCACTATACATTATTTTTCTTGTTCTGACTGAGATATTTCACTCAGCATAATGTCCTCTATGGTCACCCATTTTGTATAGTATTTCATGAGTTCTTTGTTTTTCAGTGCTACATAATATCCCATTGTGTGACTATACCAAAGTTTCTCTATCCATTCATTTGTTGATGGACACTTAGGTTGTTTCCACCTCTTTTCTATTGTGAACAAAACAGCAATAAACATGGGTGTGCATATATCTACTTGGGTGGCAGTTCTGATCTCTTTAGGGTATATTCCCAGTAGTGGAATTGCTGGGTCAAATGGTATCTCTATTTGCAACTTTTTGAGAAAGGGCCATACTGCCTTCCACTGTGGTTGCACCATTTTACACTCCCACCAACAGTGAGTAAGGGTTCCAGTTTCTCCACAACCTCACCAGCATATGTTATTTGCTTCTCTGTTTAATTTTTCTATTTTTACTGGGGTAAGATAATATCTCATAGTTGTTTTGCTGTTTTTATATCTTAAGAAAGCAAGCAGGGAGCGCTGGTGGCCTAGTGGCAGGAAGCTGCACTGCAATCCCAGAGGTGTGTGGTTCAAATCCACCAGATGCTCTGTTGGAGCAGGAGGGACAATCTCCTGTACCAGTCAGATCTGATTTGATGGTACACACAAATAATAAAATGTTTTTT